TTGGGGTTGGAGATCATTTCTTTCCGTGTAACAGGACGCGTGACCATGGCATTGAAGCATGATCTTTGTTCTGGATTCTTGACACGGTGTTGCTGTTGAGGCAATGACGTGGTACAAGGCATAGCCGGTATCCAATCCTCGTTGAACACCGAACAAGCTGGTACTGCAGGAATAACGTCTCGAAGATAATCGTCTTGGACTTGTTGTTGGACCATTTCTTCAGCCCATTCCCATCCTTCAGTACATGATCCTCCCAACTCAAGGTCAATCTTGTTGCACTGAACCACTTTGGGAAAAATCATCTTATCCAGCATGTTGTTCACGATCTTCTTGCCCACGGCGGTTCTCTTCTTTTCCTTCTTGGCTGCCTTAGCCTTCTCTCTTTTGTCTTTCTTGTACGCTTTAGCTCTGGCTTTGGCACCCAGTGTGTCCCACTCCTCTGGTGAGTACAAATGTTTGGGTCGCCGAGAGGGAACGATTCGCCGGCCGTCGCTTCCAATCTTGTATGCGACTCCGCCTGTCAATCTTGCATGCTTCTCCGTCATCATTGAGGTAGATCTTACCGTCGCCCTTGACACCTGTGTGCCAATGCTCAACGTCATCTCCCACAAGCTTGGCTTCCTTCAGTCGACGTAGGATATCCCCTGGATCCTCCTCGTCTCCCTTCGGAATAAGCCTTCCTGAAGGTCCCACTTCATCAAGTGACCGTGGTTCCCCAGGTTTAGCTGATCCTGACGACTTCGGTAACACGCTGCTCGACTCTCCTCGTTCAGCTGCTTCTTGAAGAAGTTTATCACCAATAGCATCAAGAACTTCGTGATCATAAATTGGAACATCTCCGACTCCAATCCCTGCATCTTCTTCTCCAGGATCAGGAGGGAGTTTAAGGGGTTGATCATCATCATCATCGTCATCATCACCATGGTCTCCATCCGGTGGATGATCTCCGGGATCGAGATCGTTGATCTCTTTGCCCTTCAACTCGGCATTGTCCTTGAGTCCTTCAAGCGTGGCGTTCATCCTTTCGTACTCGTTCTTCAATGGAAACTCAATCTTCTCTGGGAGGACCGCCACTTCGGTCGTGAAAGGTTGTGCTAGTCTTCTTGGCACAGATGCGTTCATGGACAGGTTCACGTTTGCAAACTCGGTCATGTCCCAAACTCTGTACTTTCTCGACCATTGCTGACCTGCACTGATCACATACCCGGCGAATATTCGTGGAATTCCCTTTGGGTCGAACTTTCCGGTGTACGTCATATCCTTTCTTGTAGTTGTCGGCTTGAAGAAAACTTTGACGCCGAATGGTATGGCTTTCCCTTTGAAATCTTCTCCCGTCATTCTCTTCCATGCTGAATCACCATCTCCCTCGACGTCCTCGATGTTGAGATTGTGAGTCACACAGTTGAGGGCTTAAGGGCCAATACTGTGCTGGCAATCCTGCATGAAGTAGTGCGGTAGCCACAGTGTTGATCACCACCTGATTGGTTCTTTCTGCAAGAGAATTGTTCTTGGGATGACCGGGCAGTGAATGATCAACTGGAATTCGGAGTTGTGCCATTGCCGCATCGAACTCAGGTGCGGCATCACTGTAGGCAAGCTTTACCTTCCGTCTTCCGATCAATCTCCGTAAGGCATCAACGACATCCTCTGTGTAGCGGTTTCTCGTTGGTATCGCCGCGATGACTTTGGTTGCGACATCACGTACAACAAGAATCTCCCGATCTTCGTCGTCATTGCCCATGCCCATGTCAGCGGCTTTGCGCATATCAAGGAAGTCGAAGGTGATCAGATCCCCCCATGACTTCAATTCCCTTTTGAAAGCTCCACGTTCCGTCCGGTAGTGCTTCATCTTTGCTCGAATGCATGCTTCGCAGTACGGGTTTCGGTACCGATGAGTACAAAGATGTGCGAGTGTCTTGGCTTCTGCTTTCAGGGCACCGATCTTCGCTTTGCGAGTGGGTGCTCCTTCGCCTTCGACCTCGATCTCTCTATCGTCCTCTGCCTCATTTTCGCGTCCTCCGTCTGGTGGTTCTGGAGGCCTTCCCGCTTCCGCCAACGGCACTTCTTCGTCAGGAGTTTCGTCCGCTGATGTTTCATCATCGGGAGGTCCTTCGACTTCGTCGTCTGCCGGACCCTCTGCATCCTCCCCAGTTGTCGCTGTTGCTGTGGCAACGTCCGCCACTGCACTGGATAGGGATCCATCCTCACCAATGTCGTCGAATATGGCTTTGATGCTGCTTGCAACCTCATCTTCGCGTGGTCCTGACTTCTGACTTCCCGCACGAACGTAAGGAATGTCGCCATGAACGAAGAGAGATATCCGCTTGCCCTCCGGGTTGATCATGAACGGATCTTTTCCGGGTTGCCAAACGAAACCATATCCTTGTTGCATACATCTCTTTCCCACCGAAAGAACTGAGTGTATCATCGAGAACGTAGGCGTTGATCGTCTCTGCGAACGACTTTGTTCTGAAATTGGATATCAGATCAGTGGCTGTAATGCCGTTTGCTGTCTGGAGTGATACCCCGTTCTCTGGACTGACGAGAGTTTCCAAGCCGTGCTTCTCGACTTTGCGTTGAGAGATGAGGTCGTGTCCGCAGCCAGTATCCATGAGAAACTTGATCTTGGACCGTACCCACGTTGGTTGTACCATACACGTGACCTGCTCGAAGACTTTCAGTCCTTTGCTCTTTTGGGAGTCAACGTGCATCTCCACAATCTCGTCTTCGCCGTCGAAGAATACTATCTCTTTTACCGTGTCTGTCCCGGGAACTCGAACATACATATGTCGATCACCTGGTCTGTCGTCTGACACCATGTCGATCATCAGCTGCGCCTTCAAGCGAGCCTTGTGCATAGCGAACCCAAGTTCATTTGCTCGATTCTCGTTCTCGACGAGCTTCTTCGCATTGACCTTTACAATCTCTCCACCACGTTCTTTGTATGATTTCCTCGGTTGTGATGATTGGAAGGTCACATCGGCAGCGAACGTAACCCGTTTGTCCACCTTCGGTTAAATTTGGCCGACCAAGTCGCTCCATCCCGCTCATCATCTGTGGAACAATCCGAATCTGCGTCACTGTCGATGGATGAACATTCGGATTCCTCCTCCTCTTCTGCATATGCTTTCTTGCGTACGGCTGGAGCGAGAGGATTCCATGCTCTGCACATTCTGATCGCTGGAGCTGCAGTCTTTGGCTTGCCCTTTGCTTTCGCCTTCCCTTTCGCTTCGGACTTTGCCTTTGCCTTGGCCTTGGCTTTGGCTTCGGGCTTGTCCTCACCCTCCGCCGGAGTAGCGGGATTGATGTGAGCATAGGGGCAGTTGTCACGATTGCAACTTCCATTCTTCTTGAAGTTGAAACACACCTTTTGTTTGTTGTCAGCTGAGGGACTGTTCCCGGCTGTTCGTCCTCGGCCAGGAGTACCGCTCCTTCCTCGCTCAGGCGTCTTCTTCGAGTGACTGTATGGACATCGATCTCCATTCTTGCATTCACTGTGTTCAGAGAAGAAGAACCTGCATCTGATGTGCTTCATGTTTGGCTTGCCATCCGTAGACTCAGATCTCCTCCTAGGCTTGCCTTTGTCTGGCTTGTCTTTCGCCTTGCCTTTGGCATGCGCCTTAGCTTTGTAGCAGTAGTAGTAGTAGTAGTAGTAGTAGTAGAAGAAAAGTTGTAGTTGAAGTAGCAGTTCAAGTAGTAGTTCAAGTAATAGTTCAAGTAGTAGTTCAAGAGGTAGTAGTAGTAGTAGTAGTAGTCGTAGTAGTCGTAGTAGTAGTAGTAGTAGTAGTAGGAGTAGCAGTAGCAGTAGCAGTAGCAGTGGTGGTGGTGGTGGTGGTGTGTGCCCGACTGTTGACACCCGATGACTCAACCCACAAACCCGAATCCGCCCCTGCAGTCAGAGGCTGCACCTCCGTTCCCTCCTTGAACCAATCCTTTGTCACCGTGAAGGTAAGGACCTGTTAGGGTTTAGAGTTTGCGGTGGAGTCAAGGATCTGTTCGGGCCCCTTTCTGGAGTGGCGAGGACACGGCCCTACTCCTGGAAACAAACCTTTAGACCCTAAGCTCAAACCCTAAACATTTGGGTGGTTCTCTAAACCGTTTCAAATGTACCCTACAAGGAAGGAAGCCCAAACAGGACCCTAATGTAGAAAACCACACATTTGACTTCCAGTGTTCTTAGCCGAAGCGCAAACCTGCCAATTTCGCCCTCGATGCCAAACCCTCGAGTCGAAGCTCATAGTCTGAAGGCTTAGGATTTAGGTTTACGGTTTCGGGCTTAGAGTTTAGGGGTTAGGAGTTGGGGTTCGGGCTAGGACACCTCGACGTGAGGCCACGAGATTGGCAAAGAGTTCTTAAGGCTCGGACAAATAAAGTAGCTCCTCACTGAAGCATAGCAGTAATCAAGCATGATCAGCTGCACTTTTCCTTCTGGCTTCTGCAAAGTTGTTGTTGGCCTATGCTTGTTGCACAGAGCTAGAAAACCGCATGCCACTTGAAGAAAAACGGCTGAGGCACCGCAGGAGCTAAAAGGCTCAAGCAGTGCCCTCAGCCCCAATGCTGACCCAAAGACCAGGGAGGGAGGGCGGGCAGCTTGAGCAGTGAAGATAAGATTGCGCATCCATGCTTACAGTCCACTTGAAGAAAACGGCTGAGGCACCGCAGGAGCTAAAAAGCTCAAGCAGTGCCCTCAGCCCCAATACTGACCAAACTTTCCACGCCTGCGCATAGCCACGAATAAAATCTTGTAAACTGGCCACCACACTTTCCCTGCTCCAGCTGTCAGCTCTTTGGGTCAGGAAGCAAATAATACCACGCCTGGCGAGGGATCCCAGCCCTTGTAAACGAGGCAGCCTGCTTGAGGAGGGCCGGGAAGGAAGCCGCCATGTTCTGCAGGAAGGCTCGTTGGTCGTTGCTGAGGGACGGCAAATATGTTATTGCCTCAACTTTCTGTAAGTAGATTTCCATGACGCGCATGCTCATCCATCGGCCTCGTCGCCGGACTAGGTCCGGATTCTCGGTGCAATGGAGCATCCAGGTTGCGCCTCCTGGTCTGAACGAGGAGAGCTCAAAGTGGGCAGCACCATCGGAGCCATGAGGCCAAAGCGGGCCTGCAACAGCTTAAAGCGACGCCGGAGGGTGCCTGCAGACATCGGCCAGAGTCGGGAGGTCTGGGGCAGGGCACCAAAAGCCAGGTCCAGGAGCTCGACGACATCGGGTGGGTCCACGTGGCTGGCCTGGTGCTTTGCTGCCCGGCCTCTCGTCTTCGGTGCACGAATCTGCAGCAAAGCAAAGGTAGTGTCCGGGGCAGCATCCCGAGGGAGGATCAGGTCCTTCCTCGTGGCCGCCAGCACTTCTCCGATCCTAAGCAAGCCCGACCATGCTAAAGCGAAGACCCCAGCCTCAAGGAGCCAGCCCCATGTAAGGGCTGCCGAAAGGACAGCCAATAATATCCCCTTGGGCAATGCCCGATGATGGGCATGAGGCTCTTCAGTGAGCCAGGCAAAGGCTAAGTCCCACGCTGCAGAAAGAGACCTTCTTATACCCGGCCTGGCAGCGGCGATACCATTGATGGTCTCCGAACACCGATAATAAGGAGACCCTGTTCGGAAAAGCTGCTGCCCAAACTGAACCAGTAGGGCCGAGATTCGTTCGACCTGCTCCCAGGGGGTCTTCAGTAGGTCGGCGAGGTTGGTGTCTTGCGTCGTTCTAAGCCAGCCATCGAAGTCCTCCAGCAGTCGTGCTCGGTTTGCCCGAGTTACCGGTCGGATCACCCTGTCAGCAACGATTTGCAGGGGACGGCGGAGCTCAGCACGTCGGGCATCTGCAGGGGTACGCGGCGCAGAGAGGTCCATGGCGCGGCCACTCCTAAACCCTGAAAAGCACAGGAGAAGAAGGACCCAGCAGAACCAACCCTCACCGGGGAAGCCCAAGGAGGAGTCAAAGACGGGGCGCAGGAAGGGGTCGGCAGGCAGGGCTGTGAAGCTAAAAATCCAAAGGCAAGGCGAGGTGCGGCACGCTGTGGCATAGGGAAGACAAAAGAGGGCCCCAAAGAAAGGGCCTGAAGGTCGGTGCTCCAGCCCCACAGTGGGCGAGCGGCAACAGGGAGAAAAGTCCAGGCGAAAAGCGGACCCAAGGAAAGTTGAAACAAGGGCCCTCGCCAGGGTAGCCAAGACAGGCGTCAAAGTCACGGTGGCAGTCCGGGACGTAGGGCTCAGGTAAGGCAGAGTGCCGGCTGTGAGGGGGGAGCCCTCGACAGGGTAGCAGCCAGCACAAGGTGAGCCCAGGAAGAAAGACCTCGGCGAAAGCGGTGCTCCCCAAGTCCATGCACAGCCTCGGGGGGGAGGCACGAAGAAAGGAGCACACCCGACGGGGGGTCTAGGGCTCGACCTCGGCTAGGCGGGTCAGCTGTGTTTGGGCGGGTCGGCGCAAACCCGAAAGCGGTGTAAAGGCCGTAGGCAAGCTGCACCGAACAGGCTTTTGCAAGGGCCGGCGTTAGGGCAAAGGAGGTCGAACGGCCCTTTGCGGCGGCAGCAGCCTTCGCGACAACCGAGTCAAGCAGGGTCGTAATGCGAGAGTCAGGGGCCTCGCGAGCAACACGCCGAAGGAGAGCTCCAAAAGCGGAGAGCTCGAGGACGTTTATGTGGTGGTGGCCTTTCCACCGCATGACCGCTTCAACCGACCACTTGGCAGCACACAGGAGGTCGTTGCAGACGAGGCTCTCAAGGCCAGGGGCTGGGAGGAAGCCTTCTCACTCTCAAGGGCGGCCGCAAAAGTGGCAGCGACTGGCCAGGCCATACCTTGAACAAAGCCTGGGTTTTCGAACGAGTCCAAGCAGGCCCCGGGGGGCACAAGGGCATGCTCGCTGCAGGCGGCGCGGCATCATAGGCGCACCCAGCGAAGCTAGCCCCTCCTGGAGCGCCGGGGCCAAGGGGTCTCCGGCAAAACAGCTTTGGCCCCGTTCCAGAAACAAGAGCACCGGTCGGCCGAAACGCGTAACGCGCAGGGAAGCCAAAGAGAAGACGGCAGCAGCAGGCAAGTCTGTAGGCACGGCGGGCGCTGCGAGAAGAGCCGGGGCGAGGCCGCCGCAGAAAACAGGCAGGTGCGTGCAGCACAAGGGCTCGGATGTAACCGGCCTTCAGCAGGAGTAGAACCAGGCAAGCAGGTCGGGGCAGCTCAGGTCGAAGTGGGGAGAGCTCTCAGGGACGGTGAAGCCCAGCAACCTCAGCTCCACGCAGACAGGGGCACGTGCGAGGCCAACTTCGACAAGGTCCAGGCAGAAAGGCAGGCCCGAGGGGGGCACAGCAGGGTGCAAAGGGGAGGCCACCAAAAGCAGCCGAGGCCTCACCAACCGCGGAGAGCAGGGCCGCCGCTCGTCTCGAGCCGGCCACAGCCCCCACGCCGGTCGCCATTTAGCCACAGACTCTTTGCCCTGGAGAACCAAATGATGGAAAAAAATTGATACATTTACCAAAACACGTGCGTTGTATGACTTCTCCTTTTTTCATACATGGTGCCGCAAAAAAACATACAATGTTTGATTTCCCCTATGAAACATGAACTCCAGCAGTCATTTACCAGAATCAGCAACCAAAATGAGGGGTTCAGCAGGCAAGCCAGTAAGGCCATCAAGGTTTTTCATGACATGACATGGAAATTCAAATGTTGGTTTTGATTAAAACCAATGTTTGAATCACGTACTCATGGTGCACGGAGCTTTTTTGAAATATTGGTTACGAAAACCAAT